AGTCCGCCAAGGACGTAGATCTGCACATTCAGTCCTATATCAACAAACTGGATGATCATCTCACTCAAACCTTCACTCCAGCCGTGATTGAGAGAATAGTGCAGGGCAGCGGCGGAGGAGGAGGTGGTGACGGAGATGGAGATAAGAAAGGAAGGGGAAGACAGCGAGAAGAAGGAGTTGGGACCAGCAACAAAATTAAAGTTTAAATTCCATGGACGTACACCGGCAAAAGGGAAGAAAGCGTGTTGCATTGGATGGCGGCTGTAGAGTCTTACGTCTACGGACAACGGATTCCCTATTGGGATAGGGTCTTGATGGCCACTTCGTGCATGGCCGGTGACGCGATGAGTTTTGCCATCTCGTTACAAAAGGAAGCAGGATGAAGTTCGATGGTAGAGTTTTCCCAACAAATCCGCATTGAAGACTTTCTCAAAGCTGCCAGGGAGAGGTTAGAAGATAAGAATCTCGCCCGAAGAACAGAAATGTTAATCTTGAACCTTCCTGACAGGAAGTGGAAAAGCACGTCGACACTAAAAGCTACCATGGATGAGTTGTTACAGTGCACCGAGCATGGGTTAACCTCGGCTCAGATTTTGAACAGTTTTGCTCGCGCCTTGCCTGATCTCGTCCGAACTCAGTTATATCCCCGCACTAAAGAGGAGGGGATGACCTATGAAAAATTTAGTAAGATTGCATTAGATCATGCAAATTTTTTGGCTGAAGCCAACTATTGCCACTATTGGAAAGATCTGCAAGCGGGCAAAAGATGGCAAAACCGCACCATCTCAGGATCAATACCTGGGAAAGACAACCTCCTTCTGACCTTTGAAGAAGGACGTGTCGAATCACTTTCTTGGGACCAAATAGATTACGGTCTCGATGAACCCAACAGACCGGTAGCTCAGGAGAGGAGTTACGCGGCTGTTGCAGCCCGCGGGGGAGGGCGTCAAGGAAGAGGGCGTGGCCGAGGAAGAGGTCGCGGCCGTGGTGGACGAGGATTCGGCACCCAGAGGGGTGGTGGTGAAGGAAGCCACTACGTGGGAGGAAGGGGAAATGGTCCCTCAAACGGTGGCCGTGGTTC